GGCGGGCCGGCAGCGGGCAGCCGCTGCAGCCCTCCCAGGGCTGGGGGTGCCAGCCTGCCCCGGCTCCCTTCCCTGCCCGGGGCGCAGGAAGCCAGGAGCCGTCGTCAGGCTCTTACCTACCCGCCTCCCTTCTCCTCTCGCCAGCTCCATGTATTACGATGAGGATGGGGATCTCGCCCACGAGTTCTACGAGGAGACAATCGTTACAAAGAACGGGAGGAAGCGTGCCAAGCTGAAGAGGATCCACAAGAACCTGATACCTCAGGTAGCGTGGAGAAGGGTGGGGGAAAGTGAGTGCCGAAGCACCACGGTGACGGCAACAGTCCCGGCTTTGCCTTCTCCCTCAGGGCATCTTGTCAGGAAGGCAAAGGCTTTCTGCTCACCCGCCCAGCTCCTGCCTCAGAGCCCTGCTCCTATGTGTCCTGGCTTGCACCCATGTCACCTGGTGAGGCTGTGGCAGGAGGAGAGCTGATGACACCCTCCAGCTCCCCTTTCCAGAGAGAAGTGGTGCCCCAGCCCTTTAAAGCTGCTAGGCTGGGGAAGATAGCACAGCTGGGTGTGTGTTGTGGGGTGCAGAGTGCCAGGCAGCCATGCACAGCCATGGTGTCCCATCACTGACCACCTCCCCCGAGGTTCAGGGTGCTGCACTTGCTCAGACGGTGTCACGTGGCCGTGGAGGGCCAGGCCCTGCCTTTGGGAGCAGCAGCCAAAGCCTGTCACTCGCTGATGTGAGTGCACATTTCCCGCAGCCGCCCAGTAGTGACAGTGGTGTTGACAGCTATGTGGTTTGCACAACAGTGCAAAAGTCTCCTCTTAAAATAAGCAACTGGGGTGAAGCCAGGCAGGGGCTGGGACACCGGTTGAGGGTCTTGGTGCAGAAGGATAGCCTGCATGTAGGGAAGCTTCTGGGGGCATAAATGGAGAAAAGGGAGGATCAAACCAGGGCTGGAGAGAGACCCTGCAGGGGTATTTCCTAAGTAAGCAGAAAGGCAGGGCTCTAGTGAGCACCTGGGGTGAGCCATTGGTGTGCTGCGAGGGGTGAGCAATCCCCCGGTGGGAAGGGACCCCTTTGAGTGCTGTGCAGGCAGTTATGGGGGACGGATTCAGCGCCGCTCCCTGGGCTGGCGTTCTCACAGAGGCAGGCTTGGACTGTGGGACTGACTCCTCGTCGATGTGGGTTGAAACTCACCTGGTTGGAAAGCTCGGCTGAGCTGGAGAGAGCAGGCCCCGAGCCCCTGCTCTACCCCCCAGCCAGGTCCTCCCGGTGCTGTAACAGGAGAAGGCTTGGACGGAGCATGGGAAAGGCGCCTGTAGCTGGCGTGGAGGGAGCGTGCATTCAGCAGCCTCTCCTCTGGATAGAAAGCTGCTTTTCTTGTGCGCCAGCTGCCCTGGCTGCTTTCTCTCAGAGAGCTCTTTTCATTCTTTTAAATCCCGTGAATGAAAGGTGCCGGATGAAAAGCCCAGACGGCCAATATCTGCCAGTCACGCACCAGCTGCTGCACGGGCAGTGCCGCAGAGCCGC